AAAGATGTGTGGGTGTTATCATAAGTTGCTGTCTTTTGTTTGAGGTAGTAAATGAGTCTTTTGTAAGGTGCTGGTAATGTTGACTTTGGTTAAGTGGTTTTTGTTCTAAGTTTGTATACCAGCTTTCAAGTGTAAGGCGTTGATGGTAGTTGGTGTTACATGTAATACACATGGCAGAGTCCTACAGTCCATGTTGTGTCCAGTGTTCTTGTGATGTTCAGCGATGTCATTGTTAGGATCTTGTTTATTAGTGGACCGTTTGTGTTCAGTGAGTCTGTCATTTAAGGTCCTGCCAGTCTGTCCAATGTAAATGGAGTCACCAACAACACAGTCTTTCTCAAGACTACACTCACCCGGACAATCACGTTTCACAACAAACTGTCAGTCACCACCAGCAACAGTTTTTCTCAAGACTATACTCACCCAGACGATCACATTTCTCAACCAGTTTCTTACTATTCTCATGAGGAAATAGAAATTTGAATAATAAAGAAGTTTGCAATGCATTATGGTAGTTGTAGTAAAATGATACCATTATGTAAACACCCTACAACTGTCTTTGTCTCTCCTGTATCATGTTTCTTTGTTTATCTTTTGCAAACACTTATATTTATATTCAAGATCAATTGTAGTTATTGTGATTGTTTATTTTCTAGAAAACCCAGCTAACCTAATAACATATTCCTAATATTCATAAAGTCATAATTCTCACAAGACGAACCCAAAACTTTAGTTATGTTTAGTTGATACTTGATTTGTTATTCTTTAGAGACGACAAAAGAAGAAAGATTAGGTAAAGATTACTTTCAAAATCTTTTCAACAGTTAAATCAGTGAACATCCTTAGACAGCATCCAGGGGATATTCAGTTGTCACTCTCATGTCTTTGTACTAATAATTATTGGAAAGATATGAATTTGTTAGGACACAGGTAGACAGTATAGTAGTTTAAAAAGATTGTGATTCTTCTGTGTTTTAGTAAACTAGACAGAGTCTTTTAGAAGCCAAAACTAGGCTAAACCAACATATTTTACCTATTGTAGTCAATACATATCTTTTTGTAGAAATACAGAATACTTTTCTTTACTTTGCATAGTTGATTGCAGCTCGAGTAGTCATCACGGTTAATTATAAAGAGATTTTAGAAGCCAAAACCAGGCTAAACCAACATGTTGTACCTATTGTAGCCAATACTGACATCCCATTTTCGTAGAAATACAGAATACTTTTCTTTGCTTTGCATAGTGAATTGCAACTCGCTATTGTCAGTGCTATTGACTCCAGTATCACAGGAGGATACATGGCCATCCAAGTATATATTGTGTCATAACACACCTATCACATGACTGCTAAAGAATGATGATCTGGAACTGATATTCTGCAAATTCCTAAACTAAAGAGATGATGTTGTAGTACAACATACATCATACCTTTTTGCACCGTCTATTGCCTTTAGTGATTTTCTTGATCATCATCAATCTAAATAATGTAGTAATTTGGACTAATTTTAGAGTTTGATGGGCAAACAGGCATAAAGACAGACAGACAGACAAACTGAGCAACAGACAATCTGACTGGCTGACAGACAGAAAGGCAGACAACCTGAGCAACAGACAATCTGACAGACAGACAGACAGACAAACTGAGCAACAGACAATCTGACAGACAGACAGACAGATAAACTGAGCAACAGACAATCTGACAGACAGACAGACAGACAGACAAGTAAGTAAACAGACAAGTTGGCAGACAGGCAAAGAGACACAATACAAACTGAGCAACAAACATTCTGACTCACTGACAGACTGACCTAGAAAGGCAGATAGACCAGGCAGGCAAGCAGGCAAGCAGGCAAACTTAGCAACAGACAGTCTGACTAACAGACTGAGAGAAAAGCAGGCAGACAGATAGACAGACATTGAGTGACACTGATACACCCCTTGGGTTAATCTAAGTTAATACTAATGATAAATACTAACATAATAACAATTTCTCATATTTAATTACCTAACGTAAAAGCAGAGTAAAGAGTATTTTCTATTAACTTTATTTATTTCTCAATTACAATTGGTTTGTATATACTGTTATGTTTAATAAGGGGTTTATTTTTCCCCTTCAGCTCCTCAGGATGTGAACTACAAGCCTTCCTTCCTCTCAGACCAGGAGCTGAAACACTTGATCCTAGAAGTATGTTTAACCTACTTTTATTCATTGAGTTTGAAGCTTCATGATCCCATGGACAAAAACAAAAAAGCTAGGCTTAGCCTGCATTCTAAGGTTGAGGTGAAAAAACTAGGTCAAGTTGGCATTAAGTGCCTTGTGGGACTGGTTTGGGGGACATGTTTCCAAGACAGCGTCTATTTTGTCTCCTTAAAAGCCCCACAATGCACTTCAATGCCAACACAACCCAGTTTTTTCCTCAACCTTGAAATGAAAGGGTTACCTTTCATTACTCGAGATGGCGTAGTGGTAAAATGTTTACCTGGAGTTCAAATTTATCCAGTTTACACTCAAGTTGAGTTGGTAGTTGAATTGGTTGGTTCACTTTCTGACTCCCAGGGTTATTCCAGTCTTGGTTTTTTCCTCCCTYTCTCAGACCAGCCCTAACTAATTCAAACTGGCTGGATCTGTGCTCTGGGGTCATGCATAGACTGTATAGTGGCTGCCAAAGGTGGCTTCTCATTCCTTTCAGTTCCAYCCTGTTGAGCTTTGCCACTGTATACTTGCATTGATGTATAGCGATAACAAAAATAACAAGTRCAAATTGTAGATTTTCCCCTAGAACTACACAATATTTAAACATGAGACTCTGGAAATCTGGACAACTGGAAAAGCCAATCCCTTTCTGTGAGAGTTCTCCCTGGAGCTTACACATAATTTAAACAGGAGACCCTCTACATCTGTGGATAAAAATAATCCCTCTCTGTGAGGGAGGTATGGATACCTTGTAGGAGATATAAAAGATGAATTTTTGTGGTTATTGTTTGTAGGCAGCAGATGGTTTTCTGTTTGTAGTTAATTGTAAAACAGCAACAGTTGTTTACGTATCTGATTCCATTACTCCCGTATTGGGTCAAGCACAGGTGAGACATATTAATWTATTAATACTCTTGGATTCTTTGCAGCACTTTGGACTGCAGCTCAATTTGGAGGGCAAAATAATAGGTTTCCAGTTGGCAGTAGATTGAAATTATTTTGTTTTGTCCTCCAAATTGAGCTCCTTTGACCTGAAATACAAGGGGTCTATGTATAGGATGTTTTGGATAGTATAAGGAAGGCTTCATCCTCCCCAGGGGTAAGAGGTGGGGATAAGTAAGCTCTCCCCGGCGAACAGACRTGGGGTTGAGTAAAGCTCTCCCCAGGGAACAGGGGTGGGGTTGAGTAAGCCTGTCAAGTATTCAAAGCTTTAGCTACACAGGTTAAAGAGAATTAAAAAGAATATTTAAACATGAGTCAGACCCGCCCTCCATGTATTTATATATATGTGCATTTGCATATACAAGCTTTCCATGATACTTTTAATTTAGCCTCTGATGATGACAGTGACGTCAAAAGCAAAAGGCAAATAAAAAGATCATACAGTAGTGTTTGGCCTCACTCAATTCATATCTACACATTTCACAACTGTGTAAGATTATTCAAAGCATTTTGCTTGACCTTGCTATTCTTATTGATTGCAGAATGCTTGGATGAACCAGTCATTGTTTGATTTAATCCATCCTGATGATATTGAAAAAGTAAGGGAACAGTTGATGTCCACAGATTCGCCCGATGCCGGTAGAGTTCTGGATATTAAAAGTAAGTTTCCACAGTTGGAAAAAGTGATATTTAATCCTGGTTTAATCCTTGCACACCACCATTACATTAAATATTCTATGGTTAAAACTTTCATCTCACGTGGTGATTTTCATGGAGAGAGGAATTTTAAGACAATGGGAGTACAACACATGCAATAGTCAACTCAAATGTGAGAAGCATGGTCGGCACAGCTGTGACCTGGGATCTAGTCCCACTAGGCTTAGCGTCGTATGTGAGTAGAGTTGTTTGTTGGTTCTCTTCTGTGCTTTGGCTTTTTCTCCAAGTTCTCTGGTTTTTACCCCCTCTGCAAAAATCAACTTATAAATTGCAATTGGAATCCAGTGGATGAAGACCTGCTTCGTATAAATGGTGCTGTGAAATCTCTTTTTTTTTATAACATTCTTAAACATATCTGTTTATAAAATATCTAATTTTTTTTTTTTAAATTATTTTCCAGCTGGAAATGTGAAACGAGAGGGACATGGAGGTAATGATTTTAGCTAAGCCTTACTGCAATCTTCATAAACCTGTAAACTCTGTGTCTGCGAGCTGCAAGCTGAAATTTGGTTTTTCACTGCTGTCAATCAAACCTTATCAGTCAGTACCTTTCATATTTTTGACTAGCAGCAGTGAAAAAACAAATTTCAGCATGCAACTCAGAAACCCAGAGTTTGCATGTTTGTGAAAATTGCATTAAAGAAAAGCCTCTGGTTCATGAGACTTGGTAGTCTCTTTTCTTTGAAGAAAGCAATTGTTTTATCATAAAGCTTTGTTTTTATTTATTCCTTATAAAATTTAAACTGGGAGCCAATGTTACCCAAGGAGTTTTTTAATGGGCCCTGCCAGCTGATCTGAGAAAAATATTARCCAATCAGAATGGAGAAAATTTGTAAACCTGGTGTGTCATTTTTCTTCTTGAAGTTCTTTTCTTCTTGGATTCGCAAGCTACCAATTATGTAATAAAAAAAGTTGCTGATAAGCGCTATTTTCATTCCAGTGGTGGACACGCTTTTATTTTTTGCTGGCCGATTTTGCAGGCTTCATGACACCTCAGTTTTGCAGTGACATCATTTTGCATCAGTTTTTTAGATCAACTGGTGCCATTTACACTCTGTAAAATTAATGTAACAGAACTGTGATATTTTTTATGACTGACCTTTCTTTTTCTTTATATTTCTTTCTCAGGACACCAACGTACACAAGTAACATCCAGAAGAAATTTCATTTGTCGGATGAGATGTGCAGAATTACCTGAAGAACAAGCAGCAGAATCAAGGGGTAAAGAATCTTTCAAACTACATGCGTTGGATGAAGAGTATGCTGTGGTACACTGCACTGGATATCTAAAGGTGAGTGACAGCATTGTGAATGTATTATACATGATGATGATGATGATGACTAAGGTTGATGATATTGATGATGGTGATGATGAGGAGAACGATGGTGATGATGCTGCTACTGATGATGATGATAATGATGTTGATGATAGTGATGATGCTACTGATGATGATGTTGATGATGCTACTGATGATGATATTGATGATGCTACTGATGATGATATTGATGATGCTACTGATGATGATAGTGATGATGCTACTGATGATGATATTGATGATGCTACTGATGATGATATTGATGATGCTACTGATGATGATA